CCCCCCCCCCCCCCCCCCGGCCCCAGCCCCTTCCCTGGGGGGGGGCCCATCTCCGCTCTTTGGCACATGGGGGATTTCAGCAAAGTGGGGGGGGGCTGCACCCCAACACCCCCTCCCCCACCACCACCACCCCCCCACAAACACCCTGGTGTGGGGCTGGGAAACACCCCCCAGCTCTGGGGGTGGGGGGCAGGGTACCCACACACCCCCCCCAGCCACCTCCCTTGTGTCCACTTTTCCCTTTTTCCTCTTTTTTTTTTTTCTTTCCTTTTTTTTTAAATATATTTGGGGATTTTTCCTTTTTTTTTTTTGCCTGACCCCAAGGCAGGCTGGGGGGGCACCGTCCCTAACTCCCCCCGGGGCCAGCGTTGAGGAAGTAGGTGGTCATCTCCCCCTTCCCCTTGACCTTGACCAGCCCCCGGCACTCCAGCACGTAACCCTTGGCCGCCAGCACCTGGTACAGGTCCGTTGTCACCTGGTGGAGGGGGACACGGGGGTGAGAAGGAGTCCTTGGGGGGGAGGAGGAGGCCCTGTCCCCCCACCTTTCCCCGTCCCCGGCTGACCTGGATGCGGTCGGGGACCCCGGTGCTGTCCATGCGGCTGGAGACGTTGACGGTGTTGCCCCAGATGTCGTACTGCGGCTTGCGCGCCCCGATCACTCCTGCCACCACCGGGCCCATGTTCAGGCCTGGAGGAGGGACACACACACACACACACACAGTGTCACAGCCCCCTCCGCTGCCACGGGGGACGAGGGTACGGAGGGGAGGGGGGAAAAGAGGGGCACAGAGGGGGAGGGGGCAAAGGAGAGGTGATGGGCACAAGGGTTTGCACGAGTAAAAGGGTGCGTGATGGGAAAGGGGCGTGCAAAGGGGCATGTACGAAGGCCTGGATGTTCAAGGGCTAAAGGGGTGTGCAACAGCCCCTGTGCAAAGGGGTGCATGAGAGCTGCGTGTGCAAAAGGGAAGGGGTATGTAAAGGAGTGTGCAAGGACTAAGGGGGGGCAGGAAGGGGAGGGGGTGTGCAAAGGGCTTGCATGTGCCAAAGGGGTGTGCAAGTGGTAAGGGGGGTGTGGGCAAAGGGTTTGTGTGTGCAGAGGGGTGTGTGAGGGCTTGTGTGTGCAAGGGCTAAAGGGGTGTGCAAAGGCCGCCATGTAGGTGCTGCCGATCGTCTTGATCTTCTCCAGCTGGCGGTATTTCTGCTCGCTGATGATCTGGGGGGGTTGTGGGGATGTGTGTGGCATCACCCCCACCCCAACACCTCTCTCCAGGTCCCCCTGTGTGGCCCATCTTCCTGCACCTCATCCCAATGGTCTCCCTATTCCTGCGCAGGAGAGGCTGCTCCACAGCCTCTCCACCACCCTGTGCACCCCATGTTCTTGCACCCTGCACCCCATCCTTGTGCACGCACCCCACAAACACTGCTCCATAGCCTTTCTGGGGCCCCTTGCACCCCATCCCATGGCTCCATGCATGCTGCTCCATGGCCCCTCCAGTACCCCATCCCCTGGCACCCTGTCCTCACACGCAGTACTCCGTGGCCCCTCCAGCATCCTGTGTACCCCATGTTCTTGCACTCTGTCCCTGTGCACCCCAAGCACGCTGTTCCACAGACTCTCTACGGCCCCACACACCCCATCTCCTGCATCCCATCACCATACAATCCATCCCATGGCTCCATGAATGCTGCTCCATGGCCTCTGCAGCACCCCATGAGCCCCATCCCTGGTCGCTTCATCCCCAGGCATCCCATCCTCCGGTCTCCCCACGTACTGAGCCCCATGGCCTCTCCAGCACCCCACGCACCCCATCCCCACAATCCAGCCCATCACATCCCACTCTGCCCTCCAGCACCTCGTCGAAGTCGGCGATGATCTCGTTGAGCAGCCGCAGGCACTCGACGCCCTCGTTGTTGGCCTCCAGCTCAACGTAGAACTCAGAGAAGTTGCTGATGGAGGCGAACATGACGGCCACGCACTCGCAGGACTGGTAGTAGAGCTCGTCATTGCGCCGCTCCCGTGCCAGGAAATGTGCCGCCACGTCCTTGGGCAGGATGTTGTGCAGCAGCCGCCGGTTGTAGGCCTGCAGCTCCTCCATCTCCTCCTTCTCCCCCGTCGCCTGCGTCGCATAGCGCCATGTGGGAGCTGCGACGGGGGGGCCCCGCGTCCGCCCCCGGGGTGCGGAGACGGAGAACGGTCCCGGCCCCTCATCCCCGGTCCTACCTGCAGCTTCCAGAGGAAGTCGAGGCGGGCGGTGGACTCCACCTGCTGCGCGTGCAGGTACAGGGCCAGCGCGAAGACAGCCAGGATGACGGGGGTGACGTATCGCAGGGCCACCTTCCCCTCTGCTGGGCTACGGGCAGCCCCCATCCGCTTGAGCTGGGGTGCCGGACGCAGTCCGTGCCCACCCCAGGGACCCCATGACTGCACCCACCCCATAAGATGCACCTACTCCAGGGACCCCAAACCTGGACCCAGACCCCAGAAGATGCATCCACCCAAAGGACCCAACCTAAGGTATCCCCCCACCACCCTGTGCACCCCATGTTCTTGCACCCTGCACCCCATCCTTGTGCACGCACCCCACAAACACTGCTCCATAGCCTTTCTGGGGCCCCTTGCACCCCATCTCCTGCACCCCCACAAACAGTGCTCCATAGCCTCTCTGGGGCCCCTTGCACCCCATCCCATGGCTCCATGCATGCTGCTCCATGGCCCCTCCAGTACCCCATCCCCTGGCACCCTGTCCTCACACGCAGTACTCCGTGGCCCCTCCAGCATCCTGTGTACCCCATGTTCTTGCACTCTGTCCCTGTGCACCCCAAGCACGCTGTTCCACAGACTCTCTACGGCCCCACACACCCCATCTCCTGCATCCCATCACCATACAATCCATCCCATGGCTCCATGAATGCTGCTCCACAGCCTCTCCAGCATCCTGTGCACCCCATGTTCTTGCACCCCGCACCCCATCCTTGTGCACGCACCTCACGGACAGTGCTCCGTAACCTCTCTGGGGCCCCTTGCACCCCATCTCCTGCACCCCATCCCATCACATCCCACTCTGCCCTCCAGCACCTCGTCGAAGTCGGCGATGATCTCGTTGAGCAGCCGCAGGCACTCGACGCCCTCGTTGTTGGCCTCCAGCTCAACGTAGAACTCGGAGAAGTTGCTGATGGAGGCGAACATGACGGCCACGCACTCGCAGGACTGGTAGTAGAGCTCGTCATTGCGCCGCTCCCGTGCCAGGAAATGTGCCGCCACGTCCTTGGGCAGGATGTTGTGCAGCAGCCGCCGGTTGTAGGCCTGCAGCTCCTCCATCTCCTCCTTCTCCCCCGTCGCCTGCGTCGCATAGCGCCATGTGGGAGCTGCGACGGGGGGGCCCCGCGTCCGCCCCCGGGGTGCGGAGACGGAGAACGGTCCCGGCCCCTCATCCCCGGTCCTACCTGCAGCTTCCAGAGGAAGTCGAGGCGGGCGGTGGACTCCACCTGCTGCGCGTGCAGGTACAGGGCCAGCGCGAAGACAGCCAGGATGACGGGGGTGACGTATCGCAGGGCCACCTTCCCCTCTGCTGGGCTACGGGCAGCCCCCATCCGCTTGAGCTGGGGTGCCGGACGCAGTCCGTGCCCACCCCAGGGACCCCATGACTGCACCCACCCCATAAGATGCACCTACTCCACTCCACGGCCTCTCCACCATCCTGTGCACCCCATGTTCTTGCACCCTGCACCCCATCCTTGTGCACGCACCCCACAAACACTGCTCCATAGCCTCTCTGGGGCCCCTTGCACCCCATCTCCTGCACCCCATCCCATGGCTCCATGAATGCTGCTCCATGGCCTCTGCAGCACCCCATGAGCCCCATCCCTGGTCGCTTCATCCCCAGGCATCCCATCCTCCGGTCTCCCCACGTACTGAGCCCCATGGCCTCTCCAGCACCCCACGCACCCCATCCCCACAATCCAGCCCATCACATCCCACTCTGCCCTCCAGCACCTCGTCGAAGTCGGCGATGATCTCGTTGAGCAGCCGCAGGCACTCGACGCCCTCGTTGTTGGCCTCCAGCTCAACGTAGAACTCAGAGAAGTTGCTGATGGAGGCGAACATGACGGCCACGCACTCGCAGGACTGGTAGTAGAGCTCGTCATTGCGCCGCTCCCGTGCCAGGAAATGTGCCGCCACGTCCTTGGGCAGGATGTTGTGCAGCAGCCGCCGGTTGTAGGCCTGCAGCTCCTCCATCTCCTCCTTCTCCCCCGTCGCCTGCGTCGCATAGCGCCATGTGGGAGCTGCGACGGGGGGGCCCCGCGTCCGCCCCGGGGTGCGGAGACGGAGAACGGTCCCGGCCCCTCATCCCCGGTCCTACCTGCAGCTTCCAGAGGAAGTCGAGGCGGGCGGTGGACTCCACCTGCTGCGCGTGCAGGTACAGGGCCAGCGCGAAGACAGCCAGGATGACGGGGGTGACGTATCGCAGGGCCACCTTCCCCTCTGCTGGGCTACGGGCAGCCCCCATCCGCTTGAGCTGGGGTGCCGGACGCAGTCCGTGCCCACCCCAGGGACCCCATGACTGCACCCACCCCATAAGATGCACCTACTCCGGGGACCCCAAACCTGGACCCCAAACCCCAGAAGATGCATCCACCCAAAGGACCCAGCCTAAGGTATCCCTCGAGATGCACCTACTCCGGGGACCCCAAACCTGGACCCAGACCCCAGAAGGTGCACCCACCCAAAGGACCCAACCTAAGGTATCCCCGGAGATGCACCTACTCCAGGGACCTCAAACCTCTGCCCAACCCCAGAAGGTGCACCCACCCAAAGGACCCAACCTAAGGTATCCCCGGAGATGCACCTACTCCAGGGACCTCAAACCTCTGCCCAACGCCAGAAGGTGCATCCACCCAAAGGACCCCAAGGCTGCACCCACCCCAGGGACCCCAAGGCTGCACCCAGCCCCCAGAGCTGCACCACCCTCACAGCACAGACCCCCAAGGGACCCTCCTGCTGCTGCCCACCCTTACCCTGCTGGTCCCAGCTCCCCACTCACCATTCACCCTGGGTCACATTGAAGGAGGGCCTGGGGGGAGAGGAGCCAGGGGTTAGCGGGGTGGGGATGTGGCCCCCAGGATGGGAACCCCCAGGGGAGGGACACCGGGCACTCACAGGGCATTGGCCACCACCAGCAGGTCGGCGTTGTCGAAGAGGGCGGCCTGGGGCCCCTCCACCAGCACCAGGTAGGTGGCCTCGATGGCCACCATGAGCAGCAGCTTGCCGATGCTGCTGATGTGCAGGAAGACGGAGCAGGCCAGCAGGCTCAGCACCACGCTGTAGTTGAAGTACTGCAGGAGAGACACGGCGGGGATGCACCGGATCCCTGGGAGGAACCCCTGATGGCACACCATACCCACGGGGACCCTGCACCCACGGGCACTCCCTACCAGCACCCTCAGGGGCTCTGTGCCAGCTCCCATGAAGGATCTTGCACCCGTAGGGACCTGTGCCAGTGCCCTGTATCTGTGGGCACCCTGTGCCAGCACCCTGTATCTTAAGGACACTACACCTGCAGCACCCTTTACCCCTGGGGACCCTGTGCCAGCACCCCTGGGGACATGGCACCTGCAGAGACCCCGTGCCAGCACCCTGTGTCCTTGAGGATGCTGTGCCGGCATCCTGGGGGATATTGTGCTTGCAGGGACCCTGCACTGGCACCCTTGTACCTTCAGGGACCCCATGCCAGCATCGTCGGGGACACTGTACCTGCAGGGACCCTGTGCCAGAACCCTGCATCAGTGCCCATGCAGGACTTTGCACCCACAGTGACCTATACCAGCACCCTGCGTCTGTGGGACCCCATTCCAACACCCTGGGGGACGCAGCACCCATGGGGACACCCTGCCAGCATCTTACATCCTCAGGGACCTTGTGCCAGCACCTGAGGAGGACCCTGCACTGGCAGGAACCCATGCTGGCACCCACGTAGGACCCCATCCCAGTGCCCTGTACCCATGCAGAGCCCGTGAGGGAGCAGGTGTCCCACGGCCACTCACCTCGGGGAAGTCACAGGCTAGCCCATCATGGTGGCAGGGGCCTGCTGGGGTCCCCAGGGAGAAGTTGAGGGCCCGGAGCTGGCAGGGTCCCACAGCCTCGGGGGTGACGTTGAGCTCGCGGGCGGCACAGTCCCGCAGGGCCACCCGGCTGCAAGCAAACTGGGAGGGGAGAGAGGGATTTCACTGAATTTCACTGAATTTTAGAGTTGGAAGGGACCATAGAGATCATCTAGTCCAACTCCCCTGCTGAAGCAGGATTGCCCAGAGCTAGAGCATGTTACTCAGGACTGCATCCAGGCGGGTCTTGAAAATCTCCAAGGAAGGGGACTCCACAACCTCCCTGGGCAGCCTGTTCCAGGGCTCTGGCACCCTCACCAGAAAGAAGTTTCTCCTCATATTTGAGTGGAATCTCTTATGAGCTGGTGCCCCACAGCCTCCCCCACGTCTGCCGACCCCACGCCCCTACCATGTTCACGAAGGCGGCGATGAAGACAAGGAGGATGGTGAAGACCCCAATGACGGTGCGTTGGTGCCCCACAGCCTCCCCCACGCCTGCCGACCCCACGCCCCTACCATGTTGACGAAGGCGGCGATGAAGACGAGGAGGATGGTGAAGACCCCAATGACGGTGCTGTGGGCGCGGGACTGGACAATCTTCCGCGAGAGCCGCTGCAGGGCAGCAGGGAAGAGCTGCGGGTGGAAAGGACCCCGTCACGCAGGGGCAAGCCCCCGCCACGTACCCCCACCCACCAGCCCTGTACTCACCGTGATGCAGGAGTAGACAGCGCAGACAAAGAGGATGGTGGCAAGGAGGATGAAGATGCCAATGTAGACGCCGAGCATCAGCGGGGAGCTGGGGAGAGAGGTGGCCATAAGTGCCAGGAGGGGGTGGGGGGCTGGGAACCAGGGTTTAGCTGGGGGGTACAGCACTCACTGGGGGAACACCACGATCTGGAGGCAGCAGATGAAGCAGAAGACGAGGAGGGTGCAGGCCACGTAGCCAGCGAAGCGGTCGTCCACCTTCTTGGAGTACTGCAGGGAGGAGAAGAGTAAGCTGGATGGAAGGGGACAGAGAGGACCCCAGAGGGGTGGGGAAGATAGGATGGGATGGAGGACACTCCTGAGGGACAGAGGGGATGGGACGCAGGGGGACAGAGGTGGTGAGGATGGAGGGGCCAGGACAGAGGGCACCATTGAGCGGGACAGAGGAGATCCCACAGATTAGAGGAGTCAGAGTTGACCCATGGCTGGGATGAAGAAGGTAGGGGTGACCACAGGGGCTGGAATGGAGGAGACCATGAGGCCAGGACAGAGAAGTCCCAAGAGACAGAAAGGGGATGGAGAGGACCCCAGGAGATGGAGGTGAGATGAGAGGAACAGAGGCACTGATGGGGTCAGGACAGAAGGGACTTCAGGGGTTGGAGGGGACTGCAGGGCTGGGACGGAGACACCCCCACCTTCTTCTCCAGCTCGGGTGTCTGGAAGGTGAGCAGGAACTTCTTGACGTGGTCCTTACGGAGCTGGTCAATGCTGCGGGCGTCGATGGCCCGGCTCAGGAACTCGTCCACCTCATCCTCAGGGTTGAGGGCCTCCTGGGCACTGCGGCTGGGGGCACAGGTGGGTCAGGACCCCTTCAGGCCACTGGCTCTGCCCCAGGGAGAGGCTGGCTGTGACACCCCCTGGCATGGGGACACTTACTTGTCCTTGCTGGAGTCATCGATGCCCTGGGGAGACACAAGGGAGGTGGGGTATTGAGCGGGACAGAGGAGATCCCACAGATTAGAGGAGTCAGAGTTGACCCATGGCTGGGATGAAGAAGGTAGGGGTGACCGCAGGGGCTGGAATGGAGGAGACCATGAGACCAGGACAGAGAAGTCCCAAGAGATAGAAGGGATGGAGAGGACCCCAGGAGATTGATGTGAGATGAGAGGAACAGAGGCACTGATGGGGTCAGGACAGAAGGGACTTCAGGGGTTGGAGGGAACTGCAGGGCTGGGATGGAGACACCCCCACCTTCTTCTCCAGCTCGGGTGTCTGGAAGGTGAGCAGGAACTTCTTGACGTGGTCCTTACGGAGCTGGTCAATGCTGCGGGCGTCGATGGCCCGGCTCAGGAACTCATCCACCTCATCCTCGGGGTTGAGGGCCTCCTGGGCACTGCGGCTGGGGGCACAGGTGGGTCAGGACCCCTTCAGGCCACTGGCTCTGCCCCAGGGAGAGGCTGGCTGTGACACCCCCTGGCATGGGGACACTTACTTGTCCTTGCTGGAGTCATCGATGCCCTGGGGAGACACAAGGGAGGTGGGGGGGTGTCAGGGACACTAGTGTGGAGAGGGGGGACCCGCATAGATGACAAGGACATGAGGCATCCCCCAGGGTCATTGAGGATGGGGGACAGAGTCCCAGGAGTAACCAGGATGGGGTGGGTTCCCAAGGGTTCCCCAAGCCTGGGAAGGATGGGGGGGTCTCAAGGGTCTGCAAAGGGAGGAGGAAGAGGTCTGGGGGCAGGAGGGATGTCTGACACTGGTGAGGATGGGAGACTCCTGGGGGTCCCCAAGGCCTGGAGAGGATGGAGAAGATCCCCAAGGGGTGCTGAGGGATGGGGGTACACCTGGGGGTCCCCAAGGGCTGGTGATGATAGGGGGGAGCCCCGAGGGCTGGTGAGGATGGGGGGAGATGGGGGGCTGTGGCAGGCAGGAGGAAGCAGGCGAGGGCTGCGGTCGGGGCAGGGGAAGCCCATGGCAGCCACGGAAAGGCAGTGAGCAGCCGATACCACTGCTGCTCTGTGTCTGACACCCCCCCCGCCC